TGTTAATATTACGTTTTTATTTTTGATTTTCCATTTTTTATAACAGTTAACATTTTTAAGTAATTTGTAAAATGTTAATATTTATTTTGTTAGCTAAGTTATATATGGAATATTAATTTCGTTTTTAATGTAATTTGGAAACAATGACATTTTATAAAAATAATAAACTAATATAATGATGTGTCATTATACGATTGGATGACTTAAATCCTACGTGGACGTCCTCAATGGCTTATAGCCTCAACTTTTATATAGTATAGATTATTCTTTAATTAAGTCCTTTACTCGAAGAAAAACTATTACTATATAGTATTTTTATATAGTTCATTTTAGTATTGAATGCATTGATATTCAATAAAGTAATTCGATCATAATATCAATTCGTACTGTTGACTTAAAATGGAAAACAGAAAAGGACGATAAGTTTCATTCAGCTGTCCGAAAAAATATATTTAAACTCAAGTAAAAAATGATTAAAAGGGCATATATTCTAATCAAAAATCGAATTAATAAATCTAGACCATGTAGAAATTAGATATCCAACGAAACCAAACAAAATCCCGATTTAGTTTATCTTTTTTATAAAATATTGACTTTAAAAGCGAAAATAACACTGAGAACGGGATTAACACAATTGTACTAAAGTCTAAACAAACTTTATAAATATATTAATTCATAATAAAGAGTGCAGAATGATTAACCTTTGGAAGCGAGGTTTTCGTGAGGTGGAAGATAAGCTTTAGGGTCGGTGGATGATTCGGTGGAGGCAGAGGCACCTCTCGTAATAGCGTTTTTCGCGTGGGCTTCCGACACCGGAGAAGCACTCGAACTCCATACAAACATGTTCATCTCCTTGTTCTGTTCTCCTCCTCCTCCTCCGCTGCCTCCTCCACCACCACTTTCCTTTTTCTTTACTCCACTTGCTCCACTCGTGGACCCCTTGAACATCGGGTTCGGTGGTGGGTACGACGGAACTGAACACGTATTTCCATAAATATTTTAAAATTCACATTATCATGCTTACAAAAAAAACCTCAAAATTATGAAAATATCATATTTTCGATAAACAATAAGCGACTATATAACACAAAGTGTTAAACTGTTTTTTTTTGTTTGAATCAGTTTACTTTTCTATCAAACAAAAAACATCAGAAATTACGAAAGTATTATAGTATTTTCGATTAAGTTCTTTAAAATAAATAGTAATATTAGGTTTATATATGACGAGTTTCTAACAGTTTATGAAATAATATTAAATCTATATAAACTTTTAAAAACATACCACTGTTGTTGTTGTATAATTCACCACTCATACTTTTGGCTCCTCTACCTACTTTCTTGGTCTTCAAAGCTTCTTCATCAAAATTAGACGTTCTTGGCGTCACTCCTTTAGACGACTGAAGAGAGTAAACATCTCCTCCGGGGCCTGACCCTGGGCCACCGTAGCTATTGGTGTAGCCATGACGAGGGCTCGGAGCTTTGCTTGCGTTAAACATAGCGTAGAAATCTGTTTGGTTAAAGCTAGAAGCTCTCGGTGTCGGCTCTCTTGATGACTGAACAGAGTAAATCTCGACGCCGGTGAGGTTTGAGGCACGTGGCGTGATCATGGACGAGTTGAGTCCTCCGCCGTGAGATTTGTTGAACGATGAGATCATTGACGAGGCAGCGCTTGATCTTCGGACTACCACGTGGAGCTTTCCGTCGTCACCTATCTCCGCATCGGTCTGATTAAAATAACATGTTTTGAGTCAATGTGAAATAAACCGGAGATAACCAAATTAATAACTGAACCGGGACTATAATGCCGTTTATTTTACTCGAAATTTCCACTTTATCCAATAATCAAGCAAATGAAAGTCATTTTTTTGGTATTAGTTGATATAGAACCCCAAAACGACATGTGATAAAGTACTACACTAAAACCTCTATAAATTAATAATATTGGAACTACACCAAAACTATAATTTTGATTAATTTATAAAAATTATTAATTTATCGATATACTAACTGAAAAAAACTTAGTTTAAAACTATAAAATTATATATATTTTTTTTAATATGTATATTTATAGAATATTAATTTAAAGAGGTTATACTGTATATTTATCAAGTTTAATTAATAAATTACTAATTTACTTGAGTTAACCGCACGGTTACTTTGAACATACATACAAAGAGCCACTAGTGTAACTATCCGTACCTCGAGGGGTTCACGGCCATTGAGAGATAGAACATCAGAATCAACTCGGAAAGAAGTGATGGAACCGGCAGTTTCAGGGAACTGCTCGGAGATGAGAAGCTTAGCGCCACGAAACTCGAACAAGAAGAGCATTAGTGTATACCATATGATACTTTGAAGCACAACAATTTGCACCATTAAGTTGCCTGAAAAGTCTCCGTACATAGCCCGAAGCAATGGGATTCCCATTACCAACGTGTTGGGTAGTGTCGATAGGGAAAAGAGAGTAATCATCCATTCTAGACTTCCTCTGCGACTAAACGCCTGAAAAAAAATAATAGCAGAAATACAACTCATCAGCATATATTTTGGTATACAAGTAAGGTACTTCTTGTTACCAAAACAAAAACATATAAAAAATGCGTGTGTGTGAGTGTGTATTAACAAAGCTTCATTTTCTCTCAAGGTTTGATAATTATGACCATATTTTCTTAGTATCATAGTTATCAAATGCTAATGGTGAATCTATAGACTTGAAAATAAGAACATAAAAAAGAGGATTAGATGTTCATCTAATTAAATGACCAACCGTATGCGGTTTAAAAACATTTGTTAGGTTTGATCATTGGTTATCTGAAAAAAAGTAAAAGATTAAAACGTCACCAAAATATAACTATGTTGGTCCAAAAACTATTACTCGACTCTGTCACCGAATAATACATCTAGCTATAGTAAAAAATAAATCGATGTTTTGGTTGGATTAATAACGAGTTAACGACTGATAGTTACTAGACTACCAACACAACACATGAGAATATAGACTAGGTGCTTGTAAATTAGCTATTAAGCTATAATATATTCATATAGAGGGGGTATTATAAGAGACGGGCCTGCCAAAGAAAGAGAGCGGCGAGGATGACAACTTTCTGAAGAGAGTCAGCGGCGAGGAAATGGTAATCCATGGCATAAGGATCATTGGAGGAAATGAAATGAAAGGACAGAAGTGGAACCGCGAAAACCGCAACGAACCGGTTTATACCGGAACATTGGTCCGGTGTGAATATTCCCCACCACCGTACCGAACCGTAAGCAAGCATCATAGCTACGTATAGCGGCACCATTGCCGCTAGTACGTCGTACATATCTTTGCCAGTGATCATTTTGATTTATTTCCCTGCGAGAAGAGAAGAGATCAAAGATGGAGAGAGAGAGAAGTGTGTGGGTGGTATAAGGTATTTATGGAGGATGAGTGAAGTGAAGTTCATTGGAGACGATATTAATTAATGTTGTTTGTGTTAATTATCTACTCTATTAAAATAGAGTCACTATTTTTATCTACTACAAAGAAGTCATATAGGACCATTTCATTTATTACTTAGTATGACATATTAAATCATTTAGGTTAATCAATCAAATATATATCATATATGCTGAAAATAATAGATTTACATTCTATTTTTAGTTATAACAGAATCGGTTGAGAGAAAATCTAATAAACTCTTATTAAAAATTTAAATATTTTATTATTAAATAACATAATAATGAATTTCGTAATTAATAATATCATACTATTATACATTAATATTAATTAAAATTTCACTATAATAACAAAAAAAAAATCTTAACTATTTTATAAATTTCAAAGTAAAAAACTAAAGAATATTATATATTAATAATGTTGAATAAAAACCTACACCAATTAGATTATAAATTTACACAATATATAACATAAAAATATAAATTATATATTTCAAATATTTACATTAAGATTAAATAAACTTTTAAAAATGAAAAATATACACGCACGAATGTGTGGGTAAAAACTCTAGTATAGCTTTATAGTAGAATAATGCGTGGGATTCGTGTTCAAACAATGAATAATAGCCCACCGTTTGACATTTGAATATTACTAAGCAAAATATAAACCAAGACGTGTTTATAAAATTATATATAGTCTTTTTCTTGTGAACTTGGTAAAATAGTAGAATGATCATAATAAATCACAATATAAGTGTTACACGCATGATAGTGTATTATTATTATTTTTTTTTTGTGAAATGCAAATTTGTAGAGTTGCGTTAGAAACTGGTTCCTCAAGATCACATAATTGCATAAAACATTATACATGTATGTTAATGACAACTCACGTACTACACCAAAAAAAAAAATTTACCAGTAGATTTTTAAGAAATGATTGTTTAGATATTTTGATGTCACTTATATCATTTATTTATTCTCTGCATGAAGCTGTTATATTTAAAAATGAAAAAGAAACAGGGAATCTTGTGTTGGGATAAGCAAGATTGGTCTATAGTATTTGAAGTAATGTTATAGAAATTATATTTACAGAAATATTAGATTCTAAATATAGAGTTAGATACGTAATTTCAATATACAAGTATTAGATGGTAAATGAAGATATTTTATATCATATAACGTTCCAAAAAAATATATTATATATCATATAAAAAGTTAAACCGATTGTGTGTAAGCTATGGACACGGCGAAGGTTGATGAATGCACATGGTGTCGATGGCATCTACTGAAACTTTCTGAGCGATCTGCGGTTCCTGTAAAGATCTGATATTTAATCAGGAAGAATACAATCAAAGATCTTGTTTTTGATAAGGACGAAATTAATTTAATTTTAGACCGTTGTAGTTTTGGTAAAGGAAATTTACATGTTAACCAGTCTAAGATAATGTTTTTTTCTTCCATTTGAAACATTGATAATTTATTAATTAGGGTTAATGACATTGGCCAGATGAATAATTAGACTGCTTGCTTTCATATTTTAAATTGTCGTATTTTCATATTGCGCCTACGTATTCATCACGCCGCTTTGATTGGGCCTGACGGACCTTTTCGTTAAATTTGTCCAAACACAACATCGCTTGTCTCTCGAGTACGGTATACGGTTAGTTTCTTTTTTTGGTCATCTGAATTGATAAAACCAAAGATGTAGACATAACTTGCAGGCATCGTCGCATCGAGCAAAACGTATTTTACACATCAATTTTGTTTTTAAACTAAAAAGTAGAGAAAAACGAAGATGTGGTTGAAAGTTCAAACAACCCAACATAAAACTGTGAAATACTATTTTCCCATGTGTTATTTTATGATAGTTTAAGATTTAATTGCACTATTTGTTAGATTATATCTAAATTATTAATCTAATTATATAATTTTTGGAAGATACGATACAAATGCTATTATTCTAACTATTGATAACTATACATACATATATCATTTTTTCTATTAACAAAGAATTTCTTGGTTCTACTTATGTGATCCAGATTAGCTATAGAGTGCGTTTAAAGTTTTTGGCGAAGAAGAACTTCAGACCATGTATTGTTTTCCTCAGGTCAAAGAACCCATATGAAAACTTCAATAGCTAGTGCGAATCGAACCCAAAGCCGTACTTGCAACTGCAAGCCGTTAACCACCAGACTAATGCGTCCTGATTTACATATATCATATCATATAATTTAATCACCTCAAAAATAATCCAAACATCTTTATATTTCTAGCTTGTAAGACTCTAATATATAAAATAATAACTGAAAAATTGTTGTTAACACAGACTAATAATCAAGCAACAACAAAAATTAAAGTATATAATTGAACTTTTTGCCGCATAAAGATAAGCACAAGTTCTTTAGCTTGTGAAAATGATTTTACTTGCATAAAAGTGTACTAAGAGAAAAAAGTATGCAAGTAAAATCCTTTTCACATGACTTCTACAAGACTTTCTCAAAACTTTATTTGTATGTTTTCTTTTTGTTGGATATAAACTTTCTCCATGTGTGCTTAACCTTTGTTCAACAAATAATTTAAACAGAAAAGGAAAAATAATTGTAGAAAGTTTTTAGATAGCCAAAACAAGAAATTGAGAGTAATACTAAAAAAGACATTTCAAACTTTATTGACAGAGTCCTTAATCCTCATTGTTAGCAACTTGACCACTTTCCACGGGTGGTAAACTCTGCACAATAAAAGAAAAAAAAATCAAACCAGACTACAAATCTCTAATGGCAATTCATCGAACTGCTTATGTGCGTTACGCAGAAGACCAATATTCACAACATAAAAGAGGACATAAAGAAAATCTCGAGATTTCTAGAGCCGTTATCAAGCAATAGATTTAAATATTGGAAGCTTACCAGATCTGGCTTATAAATATTGTGGACGACGGAGGCTCCAGCGAGAAGGGAAACAACAACTACGGCTGTTGACAATGCAAGAGACGGAGTTCCCGTCGGCAACTTCCCTCTATAAGTTTTCTTCATTCTTCTTTGTGCTCTGCTTTTCAATTAAAAATCGATTACAGAAAACTTTTTCCTAGCTTTAATCAATAGTTTTGTTTATTACATACTTCTAATAGACCACCTAACATAACTTATACGCTTAACACCAACCATAAATGATCTCACCGTCAAAAAAATAACGAGCCCACAACTACATTTCGATATCACGGACCATACATGCATGCATCAACACCAACATTTCTAACACCAGGTTATCATCAACTTTTAATCCAAACTTAAAAACCAAACACACCAAACAAAAGGTCCACAACCGGTTAAACTCAAATAAAATACAAGTCGGTTCTAGCCGGTTTACTTAACCGGCGAAGTCAATTGGGCATGTTTAAATGGGCTTTGTCCGGATCGGCAATTTTAGTTTTTGTACAATTGACACAGATGTCACATTCTTCTCACTGACCTTACCTTTAATCTGCGGCTCAGGTTCTTTTGAGCTCGTTAATATTCTTGACACGAAAAATAAAATAAAGAAATTGTATTTACTTTTTGCAAAGACACGAATCTCATCTTTTGTGTTGAGTCTTAAAAAAAAACAGACATATCGAAGGTTCTCTGGAATGGCTTCTATTTTCAGAACTTCAATTTCACTTGATCTACGACCAAAGGTAACACCCAAGCTTCTTCGGTTTTGTGTTCATTTAAAAAAAAAAAAGAAACTGAGATGAGAAATTAGGATTGTAACTAATGATGAATCGTTTTTGGTTACTGTAAGGTGGCTTGCACGAACCTCTCCAGTAAAGAACGACTTGAGTTTCAGAGCAAGAATCTGAGAAAAGAGAAGCTCAACGTTAGGTTACGTGGCGTGAAAGCTAATCAAGCACAAGGGACTAGTGCGGTTACAGAAGAGAAAGAGCTTAACAACAAAACCGGTAACAAACTTAAAAATCTTAGACCTTAATCTTGGATTTAACCAAACCGGTCGTTTTAAATTAATTGGTTGTGTTTGGTACTTAGATTATGGAGTTGTAGGGGTTCACCATGTGGGTCTGCTGTGTGAAAACCTAGAACGGTCACTTGAGTTTTACCAGAACCTTCTAGGACTTGAGATCAACGAGGCAAGGCCACACGACAAGCTTCCGTATAGAGGAGCATGGTTATGGGTAGGTGCTGAGATGATTCATTTAATGGAACTTCCAAATCCTGATCCATTAACTGGTAGACCCGAGCACGGTGGCCGTGATCGACATGCCTGTATCGCAATCCGCGATGTTTCAAACCTCAAAGAGATCTTGGATAAAGCTGGTAATGTATACATTTTGCTTCTTCTTACTATCTTCTCTTTGCGTTAAGTATGTTTGCTTGTTTGTTTGTTTGTTTGTAGGGATTGAGTATACTATGAGTAAGTCAGGGAGGCCAGCTCTGTTCACTCGTGATCCAGACGCAAACGCTCTTGAGTTTACTCAAATTTGATTCTTGAGTGTCTTCTACTAGATGGATGTATGGATGGATATAAGTTGTGGATACATACTTTATAATGCTCAAGTCTTACCTCAGCATTGTGTTTTGGTCAACTCCATTAACCATCACCAATCCAAAAGTAAAAGATAAGATGGATATGCTAGTTTCATGTGTGAGTAGACTAAAATGAAAAACAAATCTCATAGCTAATCACAATTCTCAACTTGTAAATATAGTTTACTCTTGTTTCTTTTTTTTTCTTTTTTTTTACCACAACACAAGAGAACATAATCTGGTTGAAGTTACAGACACTAAACCACACGATTCAAACAAGTTCAGGGTAATTAGTATATACATATATACAAATTAGACTGTTATATATGTTTGTGATCAAAAGGAGCCAAGAGTAGTGGAGAGGTCTAAGCGTGACCGAGATCGCCACTCTTGTATAGCCGATTTGAGAGTAATGTTTGGTGTGAGATCACAATTTTTGAGCCGATGCTTAGTCACAGGAGACACATTTTGATTGTTCTGAATCCAAGCTTTTATAGCTCTTCCTTCGTACGTGAATCCATCTGCTGCTATATATGGATCTTCCATTATCTCCTGAAACATTATTTAAACCCGAACCATTAAGTATTCTGTTTTTTTTTTTTGTTATATAATTATATGAATCGTTGTTTTCAGTTTTTACCTTAAGAATTGGACAGAAATAATGATTTGGCGGTCGTACGTTATCTTGTTCTGTCTTGAGTATCTTATTAGCAGATTCAAGAATCCGTTTGAGAGCAGGCAAGACTTGAGTATCAAGATCCGGTCTATCTCTACACTTGAGCTGCGAACATTTGATCGCTATACGAGCCAGCTCTTCTGCTTCAGCCATAGGCCAGTCTCTGACTGATCCATCTAACATATCTCCAAAACAGCCTCTCTTCACAGCGTCCTCAACGCAGAAAAGAAGACCGTTGGGATGCCTAGCCGTCAAAAGCTGGAGGATAATGATTCCAAATGCGTAAAGATCTGACTTCGGTCTGATCGTACCGGTTCTCTGGTACTCAGGGTCCATGTAGTAGAGCGTACCAGCGATGATTGAGTTTCTGTAGACAGTGACACTCTCTGGTGTCTCTTCTGACATGAGTTTGGCGAGTCCAACGTCGCCTATTTTGCTAACGAAGTTTCTGTCTAAGAGAATGTTTCCTGGCTTGAGGTCACGGTGGACGATTGGCTCCGGTTTTGAGTTGTGGAGGAATGCTAAACCACATGCGGTTTCGTAGATTATTCTGAATCTTATGAACCATGAGAGGGAGGGTTTCCCTTTTTTGGGTGAGATGTGAGCATCTAAGCTTCCGTTCTCCATGTATTCATAGACAAGACAACCATTGTCAGGACAAGCTCCGAGGAGAAGAACCACGTGAGGATGTCGAAGCTGGCTTAAGACAGAGATCTGCATTGTAAAATATTGAACAGTTAGTTTCAAACATCTCAGTGAGTTAAAAGACTGTTTACGGTCAAACCTATAAATTAATAATGTTGGGACTACATCAAAATTATAATTTTTTTTATTAATTTATAGATATTATTAATTTATTAATCATAAACTCAATTTGTAACTATAAAATTATATTATTTTATAGAGCTTTTTAGTGTATATTAATTTAAAGAAGTTATATTGTAGTTTGTAATTTACCTCTCTTAAAAACTCTTCTTTCTTCTCTAAAGAATCAGGTTTGAGAACTTTGAGAGCCACGGGAGTGTGGTCAAGGCTGCATTTGTATACTTTACCGTAACCTCCTTCACCGATTATTTTACGGGAAGAGAAGTTATCTGAAGCTGAAGCAATCTCTTCTTTTGTGTATTTTCTGTACCGACCGTCTTTCAAGAAGAGCTGGTCAATGACTTTTTGTTTCTCTATGGATTGCTTGAGAGCACTTAGCTCGGCTAGTTGCCTCTCGCAGAACTCTTTGGCTAGCATTGATTTTGCTTCTTGGACTTCTTTTACTGCTTTTAGATGTTTTTCTTTCTCTTCTGCTGCTGCTTTTCTCAGCATTTCTTCTTTTTCTAAAGCAGTTATGACCCTTCTCGTTTCTTTAATACACTCTGAGGAAAGAGACTTGACCTGTGGGTTGGTTTAGTTTTATGAATCCATTAATGACAAAAGATCGTCTAAAAAAAGATTTATAGTGACTCGTACCTGCGTTTGTTTATGGACTAGCTCTTCACAAGCTTGTTTGTACATGGAAAGAGTGGTTTCTACTTCTTTCCTTAGCTGTGCTACTTCAGACTTAACATTAGGCTGTAAAAAAAAACAGGTCTTGAGATCAAAATCACAAAAAATCTAACAGTGGGTAGAAACGTCAAGGTAAAAATGCTTTTTACCTTTGGTGTTTTTATGTTGGCTCCAGGATTTTTCAACTGTATTTTACTAGCGGAGACAATACTATGTCTAAGAATAGAACGGGTGTGTTCGTCATCGACCAAACCGATGTCAGTGGAAGATTGTGCATCAGAAAACACACGAGAGACTGGATTACTATGTGGCAAAGAGGCAGGCCTTCGAGCGTGCTTCCTGCCTGAGGATGATATGGATGAAGCAGACAAGCCTGTCTTATCTGAGCGTGTACGGCTTAAAGATTCTGTATAAGATTCTGCTCCTTGGGGTATACGGAAACTAGATGATGAATCTGGTGAAAGTTTAATAGATTAATCATCTTGAATTCACATTTTTGAGTAATGTACGTGAAATTCTAGGGACTGATACATGTGTATATATACCTGGAGATAACTGATTGGTTGATTTGGTTAATATTCTATCTTTGCAGATAACATATATCTCACATATCTCTGGAGCTTCTCTTAGTACTGTTAATGGCATTTCTTGACCTTTTTTCCTGCCAAAACAAAAATCAAACGTCTAAGCAATTTGATCATGCCACAAATAGTTCGATTAATAATGGACCTAACTCACAACCAAATGCTAACTCGAACAAAAAAAATGCCACAAACTGATACATTACTCTCATTCACATTAAACACTCAATGTGATACATTTAATACTCTACCTCACGTTCAAGATTAGACATCTGAAATGTGAAGTTTGCGAGGTATGATATCATATTAGTAATGTGCCTAATTAACACTAAAAAACTAACTCAAAAGTGAAACCGTACAAACTATCTAGAAAAGATATTCAAGGAAACATACTAATAATCAACATTCCTCAAATAAAAATTTCTGCGAATATCTCAAATGGAAACAATACCTTGTGAGGAAACTAGAAGAGCAAGATCCCATCACTAAACACTCAACCTCACTATCTGATACGTACTTCAAAAGCGCCTTCGCTGGATCATCATGCTCCAGCAACAACGTCTCAACCTAACCGTTAAAAACTTCCATGAGACTCACTCAACAGTTCCAAAAAACTCAAATAACCAATTAAGCAAAAACTCACTTTATTAAAACTGCATAGTCTCTTAAACGGCACGAAAACCTTTTCATACTCCTTTCTCAAATCCCGCTTATACATCAACACAACACTCTCTTCCAGTTCCTCCACTCGAATCTTCAATCCAGCTTTAAAAAAAACAAAAAAAAACAAAAATCATCAACGGTGAGATTTCGTGAAATGGAGAAAATGGACGATTCAGATTGACTTACAAGGAGATGGAATAGTGGTGACGGTAGGCATGACGTGAACTAGAACTAACCGATCCACGTTGGGGAGGAGATTCTCTACGGTCCAACGAAGAGCGCGACGGCTAGCAGCTCCACCTACTGCGTCTCCTACTGATCCTTTGACGGCGACGGCTACCGTGGAATAAGCCGGAGCTCCTCCGATCGATTCGAAGAACTTGTTGGACATCACCACCATGAAACTTTCTCTTCTCGACTTTGACTTTTTTGTTGATGGATAGAGGAAAAGAAAAGTTTGGTTTGGTGATGTTATTTATTGTACTCGTGGAACTAACGCGCCTACTTTATTAGAAAAGTCTTTCTTTTCGAAAATTGTTTGTTTGTTTCTTCGAAAACAATTTCAAGGGTGGACGAAATTTAAGATACTCACCCATATGCTTTTGTTTTTAACAATTTAGCTCCAATATATTGATGTGTTATGACATTCAGCCTACGTAAAGGATGACTAAAGGAATCGTTGTTAATTCCGTAACTTATAGAAGTTGACATTACAAAATATATAACACATTTGAATAAATGTGTTATATACTGAAATTTAAAATGACACTATGATTATCAACTGTTTTATAAAAGGGTGAGTAGAAGTTTCATTGGACTAAAAGTAATTTTAATTATCGAAAATATATTGCTTGTTCTAAGATTCTGTATGTGATGAAACGAACATATACTTGTTCTTACGACTTGTTATAAATAAATGATTTTAGACGGCACATAAACCACTTGCAATATTCATGAGTCCTTTAGTACAAAAAAAACCCTAGCCGCTCTCTGGCGACACCCATGGCGATCTCTGAAACTTTGATCATCAACCGCGATTCCCTGTGATTTTTCGAGCTCTCCTCACTCACCACGTCCGTTGGCGGTGGTAACCGGTGTATGCTGTGACGACAGATTGGTTTGTTTCACCATCACTCCTTGGTGTGGTGTAAACCAATTTATACTGGATCCTTTGATCTTGTCTTGTACGTGATTGTGGAGTCCTTGATCCTTTTGGTATCTCATCGTCCTTAGACGTGGGTTACTCGAGCGACCATTAACTCTTTCATCTGCTCTACTCACCATCCATAGCTTTCTGTTAGGATTGAACTGTCCACAACGATTGCTTCTTCAACACTCTTCTGTCTGAAGTTGCTAATCCATCAGTATTTTTGATTTGTTGTTGATCATTCGTCGGCTGTTTGATCATTGATGCGCTCGGATCCATTGATCTGTTGCTCTCTATTTACTTTCTGCGTACTCTGTTTTTCCATACGAAAACAGAGTAAGAAGTGACTCCTTCGTTTGTGATATTTTTCGAAACGGAATGGGTCCGATTGCTGGGACT